AGCTTGTGTGTGAAATCTTTAAATGGTTTATAGTTTTCTCCTGTGGATTAATCTGTAGCACCTAACAGAGTTATATTGTTACGTTTTTTTTTTTTTTTTTTTTTTTTTTTTAACCTTCAAAAAGAAATTTACTAGTGAGCTTTTCTTTTGGAGACTGAAATCTGAAGCAACTGAACACTTAGATATTTTTTTTTTTTTATAGATTATGATGAAAGTTCTGTTGTGGAAAAATCTAGCTTTGCTTCTGTGCTTGTTTGCAGTAAACCTGTATTATTCTTATGTAATGAGTACCTGGCACCATACCAGGACTTTGACAGCTGGCTATGACACAAACCATCACAAGAACAGTGCCTCTGTGTCTGAGCAATCTATCACAACGCCCATGTTTGCTATACACGTGGAGAGCATGTCTATGCAGACACTTCCTACACAGTCAGTGTTTGCATAAGGCCTATGGGGACTGTGGTAGAACTCTGAAGAGGAGCTGTATAGTAATGATAGCCATACGCTGCTTTAATTTTGGCCAATTCTGCTTAAAATGGAGCCAAAGTTGGCTCTGGTAGCACCAACTGGGCCTACAAACTCAAATCTGAAAATTAAAGAAGCTGGGCAAAAAGGTATTTGCTGAAGCCAATCCGAGGCAGAGCAGTGGCTGTCAGACTGCAGTATAGCCAATGGGGGAATCTATTGATTTCTTTTGTTCAGCCCATGGGACTAACAGGAGAAATCTTAATGCGTATGACTAGCGTAAAAGGTACATGTGGTCACTTTATGGTGCCTGCTGCACAACCATAGTCTTAATTTATATTACTTGAAGGAAGTGCAGGTTTACCGTGTAGCTGTAGTACTCCACCTCGGGAAAGGTTCAGGAATCATATGACAGCACAAAGTGGAGTTTATTTGCTAAAAGCAAATAGGCTATTCACTTTGCAAGGAAAATTTCCTAGTGAATGTGGTGAAATTTCACTTGAAAAAATTCCCATTTATGTGCAAGCAAAATTAAAAACAAAAATGATGGATTCAGCAGACCTACACTTCATTCACTAAGCTCTGGAGATATTTCCCTTGCAAAGAGCAACATCCTCTGCAAAGTGAACAGTTTATCTGCCTTTTAGTAAATCAACCCCAGTGTGAAGCAAAGGAGAGTTCCCTAGATCCCCAGGCCCAGAAAACATTTGTGGAACTAGTGAAGATTATGATTCTGTAGTAAACATCTGCAGGGACTCGACTCCTAAAGCTTCATTCACCAAACTATAAAGATTATTTGGTATAACTTATTTTCAGTAATAACTAATTGGGGATTAAAAGAACAGTCACGTGGCAGATGACTGTTATGGTTTTACAGAGTAGTGAATTTAAACTTTGGTATTTTTGGCGCATTCACTAATTGATGGAAGTTGAAATGATGTGCACTGTTAACCTCTGCTGTAGATAAGTCTTAAATGTATAATATAGTAGAAGTGCCTTTTTAAAACATTAAATTAAACCTTGTATATAGTGCAGATAATTAGTGAACATGAGTTATAACCTTGGTACTCTTTTCAATGAATGCTTACTGAACTGTGGATGTGACTTATTTAAAATGTAATTAGAGAACCCATATTTTGTTTAATTCATTTTTATTAAACATGACTTGCAGCTATTTGGACTGGAGTGTGGTGTTTTGACAGCTTAATCTTCTTCTAAAATACTGATCCTAAGGGTTCACTCAGATCATAAAAAATTAACCACCAAATAATTATGCACTCAGTGCTAGAGGGTAATGTTGCACACTGTTTCAGGATACAGGAAAAACAAAATAATAAATGTGTGCAAACCCCCTGCCCATAAAAATCACATTGAAAGCAAACAAAGTGATACAAATAATATCAACATCAATAAATGAAACCACCAATATAGTGAAAAAACAAAACCATAGTCAAAATAAATCCAACAATGATATACAGGCGTACCTCGGTTTACGAATTTAATGCATTCTGCGGGACGTTTCGTATTGCAAAAAATTAAGAAACCGAAACACGGTTTCCCATAGGAATGCAATGAAAACCAATTAATCCATTCCGTCAGAAAAAAGTAAAAAAAGTCTTCTCTGGTCAAAACTCTTTATAAAGTGCACTTTAACGGCATAAATACTGTACAGGGACATGATTAAAAAAAATTTGTAAATGCATTGAAAACCAATTAATCCGTTCCGGAGGTCAGAAAATTAGAAAAAAAAAACCTTATCTATTCAAAACTCTTTATAAAGTGCACTTTAAAGGCATGGGGCTGACGCTATAAACGCTTTGTATAGCAAAAAAAATTTGGAAACTTAATAATTATTTTCAATGGCTTTTCATTCGTAAACTGAAAATTACATTAACTGAGGGGCGTTCGTAAACTGAGGTACGCCTGTAATAGTACTAGGGGGGGGCAATATAAACAATTTGGGAGTGAAAATAAAAGTCCACTCACAAAATTGTTTATATTTCAGGGCTTCACTAGGGGGCCCAGTGTGGAATCTTGTGTGAAAATGAAATGCCACAGTTACACGTGCTTTACTTCTAAGCACCTCTGACGTAGATCTATGAATTCCCTTACTGGATAACCATGATCCTCCAGTTTATAAGAGATCACTACAGCAGGATAAACCAAATACAAATCACACCAGGGTATGGTAACAACCTCCACGCCCACCAGGTCCTCCGCTGGCTGTCCAGAAATCATAATTCTCTGCAGTAATATTCAGAGGAAAATACAAAGTACCATAGAGTAGAGTAATATTGCTAAAAGTACCAATTTATTTCATGGAACTATACTCACAAGCATCTCAGGGTAACAAAAGCTCAAAAATGACATGCTGCAGTACGCCAGCTGATGTGATGTCATAGGCTGCTAGCATTTTCCTACGCATTTTGTCTATGCAAAGGACATCCTCAGGGGACATAAAGAAGACTATACAAGAGACATCCTCAGGGAACATAACGGACATCTTGATGTCCCTGGCATAGACAAAATGCGTATGGAGGGGGCTAGCGGCCTATGACATCACATCTGCTACTGTACTGCAGTGTGGTATTTTTGAGCTTTTGTTACCTGAGATGCTTGTGACTATAGTTGCATGAATTAAATTGGTGTTTTTAGCAAAATTCCCTCTATGGTCCTTTGCATTTTTCTCTGAATCTTACTGTGGAGAATTGTGTTTGAGGTGGTTGATGAAAACTGTGGCATTTCATTTTCACATAAGATTCTATACTGGCCCCCTAGTGCAGCCTTCTTTTGGGAGTGGACTTTCATATTCACACAAGATTGTATGCAGTGGAGTCCTGTAAATCCCATTGGGAGTGGTCTGTCGTTTATAATTATATAAACTGGTTTATACTGAATATGCTTTTATTTTTATTTTTTTCATTATCGGTGGTTTCATTTATTGATGCTGATATTTATAAAAATTACATTGAAAGTAAACAGTGATACAGTCAGAGGTTTTGCACACTTTAATAAATGATGGAAAATAAAATTGAACATGTTTTGTTAAAGCCCAGAGGTTTGGACATGAGGATGCCCAGGAACCGTCCACTGCCAGGGCATAGGGGTGCACTGGATCGGGTAAGTAAAATTGCTGTTACCACCCCCTAGGCTAAATAAGCAGTTAACCCTTGCAGTGCAAAAAATTGTTTAATTTTCCTGTAGTTTAGAATTAAGGAAATGTATTAAATTGCAAAATGCTGCATGGACTGTAGTGCAGTGTACCATAGATTACAGATGTAAACTGGGAGCACTGAACTTCCTTCCCATAAACTATGTGCATACCCCTCTAAACTATTGAGTTTGGGTACACAAAGACCTCAACCCTTCTGCAGTCAAATGTGAGAGTCGTTCCTTCATAAACGAACTATATCACCAGTGAAAATTTTCCAAACAACCAACTGATCTTCAAAGCGCTTCTTCATGCAGCATTCCTATTTGTGGAATCTTAAAATCCTGTGTCCCCCAACCACTCTGATTGACAGATACTTACCAGCTGAAGTTGCTTCTCTTTTTGAAAAGATTAGCTAATAAAGCTCTTTAGCTGAAGTAATCTAGTCAGGATATACACATATCCTCATTCTCCATGGCATTTGTATCATAAGATCATGGAAAAAAAACACTGCATAGTGTGGATATACACTGTATATTTTTTTTTTTTTGCATTTATTTGAATTTGTGTATTGTTGTATGATTTTCTTTTCCACAGTGCTTTTAATATTCAAAGATCTCCATTTCAAATGAATGGCTACTTTTACCTGTGGCATTGGTGTGCAAAGTTGAATCCAAAATGGAGGGGGAGGGGGTTACTTAGGACAAGGCTAGTACCAGGTAAAAATAAGAGTCAATAAAAGAAAACAAAAGCAGCCACCACCTCTAAGGACTGGAAAGCTGCAATCTATACATTTTTGTTTTGGGGCTTTATACCACTTTAAGCTTTTGTTTCAGGAAACATTGACAAAATATGGCACAATGAAACTTATGCAATCTGAATTGAAGTACAGTGGATAGCATTCAGCATAATCTTCAAATAGAGTGGGACTGAACATCTGGTCTTGACATTTACATGGTTGAAATCACCTTGACAGCATTCTAGGAGTGCCAAATGGTCAAAGTGAAACTGTGGTAACAAATATGCCACTGCCAATCACAATTCTGCTGACTGATGTGGTGCGGACCTTGAATGAGCAGGTGCAGTCTGGGCCATGCATGTGTTAGTGATCACAGGCTTGGGCCTAAAAAAAAAAAAAAAAAAAGATAGACGATGGCTTCCTTTGAATTGGATAAACTGGCATATTGCAGGTAATTGTGGAACACATAACCCTGACCAGGGCTAAATCAGTTCTGACTAGCATGTCTCCTTTGAAGCATTTGTCAAAATCCTTAGTCTCAAGACAACTTGACACACTGACAATAAGATTCATACATAAACCTTAGGAAGACTGGAGCCAAATGACAAAGAACATTTTATTAGGAAAGGTTATGCTTACATTTTAGTTAAATCTGTTACTCTTTGCTCCAATGGCAACAACATGACACACTTCTGCATCTGCCCCCATTTTCTTCAGTTCGTGCAACCAAACCATCTGCTTGTGCGACAGACGATCGTTTGGCCCCTTCACCTCTACCACCTGCAACACATGGACATCAGGGTTAAGAATAAAGCCCAGTAATGTACAAAAAGCAGTAAGCCCGGGTTCACACCAATGCGGTGTGAGAAACACTGCGAATCCTGTGCATTTCCCAAACCACACTGTAAATTGCTCCACGTTCATGCGAGCTGGTGCAGGTTTCAATGATAAAATAATGACACCCCGAAACAGATTGCAAAACGATTGCCAGAACTTGCATTGCATGGGTGAGAACACCTATGGGATGCGATTCAGGTGCAGATTCATAAAAGGGTCCTGCAACTTTTTGGTGCGGATGCAATTTGAGCCATAAAAAAAAAATGTATGGCTCAAATTGCACTGTACAGACATTTGCACGTAATTCACACAGGAATGCAGTGTGATTTATGTGCAAATTACATGCGGGGTCCTGCACTGCATAGTGTGAACCTGGGCTATGTGCAATAGAGCAGCTGGAGGGATGAAAAATAGTTACCGTGTATTTTCTTTAGTTTAAAAAAAAAAAAAATATATATTTTTTTTTTATATTTAGATAAACAGGGAATGTTTAAAATGCATGTCTGTGTATTTCCTTCCTCTCCCCATGTTTTGGGATTTCTGTTCACTTTCCTGTAGGCATGGTCAGAAGTACGGGAAAATCTTCTCTAACTGGCATTGGAAAATGCATCCCTTTTTGAAGAGTCTTCCTGTTCTGACAGCAACTCCAAATCTTGGGCTTTCATTCCCACAAACGCCAGGACAAACAGAGACATACAATGAAATACCCTGACTGGAAAACAGGCAGCAATAAAAAAAAAAAAAAAAAAAAAACCTGACTTGCGGTTTCACCTCTCATTACCAAAACCAAAACAAAAAACTGCTTTAGATATCCTTTAAAAATGATCACCTTTACCGTGCAAGTTCACCTTTTGGTTAAAAAAAATATATATATATATAAATATTTTTTTTTTTTTTTGCAGGTAAATAAAAAAAAAATATACATTTATGATTTTTGTCTGCAGGAGCCTATAAACTATTCCACCAGTGATCAGTAGCTCCCTGGTCCCATGCAGATCTGTCAGTATATCTACTTGATCGTACAGGAAGAATCAATGAACTACTGTGGCTCTTCACAGCACTGTGGTAGTTCATTGAGGACTACACGCAGCCACTAAGACTGTCACAACTTGTAGTCTCTCATTCACAGATCGCTGTGAATGAGTGACGCATTCGTGTGGGCAGAGCCCTGCACGGCCACATTTTTTTTTTCCTCCCCCCCCCACTAGCTGTTAAAGCAGGTTCCGTTCTGATTGTAGCAATATGAGTGTAACATGTTATCAAAAGTGAACTTCACCTTTAACTAGTCTGATTACTTCACTAAGGGCAGGTTCACACCATGTGTGCATGTGCTGTGCAGTTCATATTCGGTTCTGTGCGGGGCAAAAGACCACATCCCATAGTACAAAGGTACCATACGATCCGGTGAGGGCAAACACACTGCGTTTTCAACCTGCATGTGGGGTGTTAACTTTTTATAGACCACTGCTGCAGATCACAAATGTAGTGCATTTTGCATGGGGCTTGAATTGCACAGTGTGTTCCTATGCGATTCAGATACGGGCGTGGTTTGAACAAGCCCCTTATAGTTGCATTGTATAAATGGTTTTGTACACTCAGTTACATAAGTATACAGCATTGTGTTCCGGCAGTGGAATGAGAACAAAATTTGAGTTAGGCTGAGCACTGCTCCATCATTCATAGGAAGCTTTACGAATGAATAGGGGTGAGAATGCTCATTATGATTGCCTGTGGCGGAGTTTGTGATGTCATCCACCCACCTCAATCAATCAGAGGAAGCTTTGTATGAAACCTGGAGAAGATCAGCTTTAAGGAAATCTAAATCTGACATTATTGACCTTGCTTGGTAAATCACTGTGTTTTCTGGCTGTCCTACTGATCCAGTAGCTTCAGCACCAAGTCACTCATCTGGAACAAGTATGCAGATCACAATGACTTCAGTCACAATTGACTTGTCCTATGCTTGTTTCAATACAGTGACTGAAAGTACTCATGCATGCTGCTAAGTATCAAGCATGTTGTTAGAAGAAGTCGGTCAGCAATGACAGCCTACATATTTCTTTCAGTACAGATTCCCTTTGAAAGTGAACACATCTTTAACCACTTTCAGCCCTCAAGATGTACCTGTATGTCCTAGGGTGGAAGCGGGTATCCCAATGTCATGGCTGCAGCTGGGATGTTGGTATGAATTTTTTCAGTTTGCAACTGGTCTTTGACTTCAAAGGTCCAAGTAATTTCTTGTAAAAAAAAATTGCTGATTTTTACATGTATGTGGAAATGTCAAAATTGGTCCAATAGACAAGTGGTTAATGGAAAGCTGCTTTGTAGTCTACCATTTCAGGCCTTTGTGTTTCCTGGCTGCCATGCTATATGTCTGTCCTTCATATTTTTAGTCAATAGTCCAGGACATATATTTGGATCAGTAGTACTAAAATCACATGCTACATAACATTTCTGAAAACAAAACATTAACCTCATTTGGAGGAGTTGAGCAATGACAGTGTGGGCAATTCTCATCCAGCAGATCTCTATAAGGGACCGAGACTTCACAAAGAGAAATCCTGTACATAGAGCATCAAGGAAGAGTTCAGAGGAAAGCTGTTCTTAACATCCAGAACTGTGCCTTTTAGCAGAACCTACTGCATCATCTGACAGGTTTACCATTTCACTCATTCATTGATGTGTTCTGGCATTTTCTGCTGATCTCACTGCAGCAGATCAGCCTGGCCTGAGTTCTGCTGACCCCTTATAAAAATGAACTAGTCAGGAGAGGAACAAAAAAAAAAAGCTGTCACTATGTATGAAAATGTGCTAAAACAAAAAATTTACCATGAGGCAAACAAGGCGTTTTCCTAAGGTGGTATTTTTCGGGGGTTGCAGTGACACACATGGCAGCTGGGGAGTAGGTGAGGCACAGCAGTGCGGGATACTGAAGGGTGCCTGACTCTCGTTCCTGTACCACTGTCAGAGATCCGCACAGAAGGAAGACGTCAGGCTTTCCTGATTATGGCTTCCGGGGTGGCCAGCAGATGAGGGCTGAATCTTCCCCCCCAAAACACCACAATTTTACGCTTGCCTAGGGTGACAAACAACAAAAATACTCCACTGCATACTTACCTACAATATATTCTTGTGACTTTTCCTTCATACTTACCTATTTTTGTCCTGCCTGTGCGGCCATTTTGAAAATGTGCATGATATTGCACATGTGAGCGATGAAGCGTATTACATCATGCATTTCACTTTGCACATATGCCGCATAAGGCCTCATGTACACGAGCAGCTGCTAAACTTTTTTTTCCAAAGCTCCTACACTCAACTCCATAAAAGCCTGTGTGTCCATGTACACAAAGGCTTTTAGCAGAGTTTAGGAGGTGCTGCGTTTAGGTGAGGTTAAAGAATAGGTGCGTTTTGACTGCCGACTGCGGGAAACCGCAAACCGCATTTTTGCCACAATTTGCGTTTCTCGGTGGTCAGAGTAGGCTTGTGTAGATGAAGCCTAACACTACAGGCATTTGTTAAATTGTGAGATATTTCCCCCCCCCCACGTCAATGAATGTAATTTCATATAGCGCAACCACAAGCTGAAGTACATGACACCATAAGCTTCATCTCATGCATGTATGACAACACTGTAAGGTCTTGCAGTGCAGGCACAGGATTTCCTTGAAGGCAGTGGTGATGTTGCCTTTCAGGGGGATCTGTGCACCCAGGCTACATCACCACTGCCTTTAAGGAAACCAGAAAGTGCAAGAGAAAAAAGTAAAGCAGAAAAACTTTTTTTTTTCAACATTTTTTTTCAAGTGTTAAATGATTTCACATCAGCATTCAGAGAAAAGGTCTGTTGTAAGTGTCATCTGTCTTACTGGGTTTTTTTTTTTTTTTTTTAATTAAGACAAATGATAAAGCTCTCCCTGATATTACACAGATACGCAAATGTCTCTAATAATCTATGTTTTCAGGGATAGAACGTTAATTATAAAAAAAAAAAAGTTTTAGAATACGGACAAAGTCCAGTGGATTAGTTTACAATGTAAAACATCCTAAATGATATATTTTCTGCTATATGAACACTTGTATTTATAGTAGTGAAGATGTAAAGTTATGTCACTTCATTCCTTTAGGGCATTTCCCATGTTGTCACCAGAAAACCCCTTCAATGTATCATAAGAAGTGACTATTTGAATTGTGACATCTAGTGGCACACAATGTAATACAATGTATAATATACACAGCGTTGGACTGGACTTACCACAGTGTGGACAAACCTGGGCATCCATGCAATACACTACTGTTAGAAAGGGAAGCACTAGATGAGAAAGCTGACAGAGCTATGCTATAAATTGTATTCTAAACTCTGCTTATATATAATGTACAGAAGTGGGAATCTTATTGCAGTATTATACCTAATTTGGATTGTCACAACAATAATGTACTTTATTAAAGTGGTCATAAACCCTTACATATAGCCAGTAAAGTGACAAGCCTCAGGAGATATACAGAGATGAACAAATCCTTCTACATATGTTGTAACTGATTATCTGCAGCGCTCTTCCTTCTACAGTACATTCTAAGCACAGAATGTGCACAGCATTTCTTAGCCCCACAAGGCAGGGGATGGGGATGTCACACACTGCACAGCATAGAGCACAGAGTGTAATCTGAGACCTGAGTGGAGGGGAAAGTACACTCTTCCTCTCCTTCACGGTCTCTCATAAGAAAACATGCACAGAGCAGGCCATCAATCACCTGCTGTGTGCTGGGGGCTCACCAGGAATAGACTCATGCAGATAGCAGAGGAATGACAGACAGAGCAGTCAAAAATCACACTAGGTGCTTTGGGGTGAGACGTGCACACCATAGAAGATTATGCTTTGTTCACTTTTCATTTCAGGGGTTTTCAGCCACATTAAAAAATAATTATAATCCAAGTAGGCACTAACAAGCAGAAGTTTGTTTACCTTATAGATTTTCTTTTGCACATTCCACACCACCAGATCGGGGAGGCCTCCTCTACAGTGCCGAATGTCTTTGGACATTTTCCTACATAGCCCACTTAGCAATGATCCTCCAAGGCAGGACACCAGACTCTGAAATGAGATGAAGGCAGAACTAGGACAAATCGACTGGCAGTTATTGCTATTATAAAATACAACCTCTGAATGTGGCAACACATACCGTCATCCTTGTAGCACCGTCCCCAAATTTAATGGGTGGGGCAGTACAATGAGGGTGTTTTACCTGCATGCATAGAATGCGTGAAGGTAAAAAACCTTCAACACCACTTTAAACTTAGCAAATTCTATCACCAATTCATATACTGTAGCATGATTAAATTCTTCATATCTAGGATTCTAAGTACAATACTGTGCCAAGTGTATTAAATCACATAGCAGTTTGGACTGTTTTAATTTTCTGTTACCATATATAAACATATCCAGTATCTATTTACAATCTTTAAAACCAGGGATTTGTACAGGATGTAAGAAGCGAGTCGTAACAATGATTTTATGCCATACCTGGATTGCTCAAATCTTCAAAAGCTCACTCAAAACACTAACAATCCTGTGGTGCTGGAAACAATTAGACTGCCACTGCTAAGCTCCTCTGCTGTCTATGGCTGAAATACTGTCATTCACTAAGCATACAAATGCATTTGGAAGGTTTAAAATATCCTGATCTGCATGCCTGTTCTGGGTCAGTGTACATACTATCAACCAGGCAACTAGCATTTTGAAAATGAGAGGTCTGCAATCTCAGCCCATGTATTTTTCTTGGTATATGTTTCCTTTTAATGATTATTTGTTCTGCCTTTAAAAGTGGTAGTAAAGGGTTTTGTTTTTTTTTCTCTCCATCTTTTACCTACCGGTAGGCCTATAATAAGGCTTACCTGTAGGCCGAGTAAATATCTCCTAAACGTGCACTGTGTAGGAGATATGTACTTTAGTGCATTGAGAGAGCCATGCCACAGGGGAAGCTCCAGCGTGCATGTGTGGGAGTGACTTCATCGCAGCTTGGCCAGTCAAACAGCTGCAACCCACGAACCGAGAATGAAGAACAGGTGAAGATGGAAGCCCTGGGGAGCGGAGACAGCGCTCTGCCAGATGCATACTAGCACATTACGCTCTTAGCTAGCAGGGAGAAGATTTTTTTTTTTTTTTTTGCACTTTAACCATTTCAATACCGGGCAATTTTACACCTTCCTGCCCAGGCCAGTTTTTAGGTTTCAGCGCTCTCACACTTTGAATGACAATTTCGCACTCATACAACACTGTACCCAAACTAAAATTTTTTAATTTTCTTCACACAACTCGAGCTTTCTTTTGGTGGTATTTAATCACCGCTGGGGTTTTTATTTTTTGCTAAATTAACAAAAAAAACCAAAAATTTTGAAAAAAAAGCACGTTTTCTTTGTTTCTGTTATAAAAGTTTACAAATAAATAATTGTTCTTCATAAATTTAGGCCAAGATGTATTCTGCTACATGTCTTTGGTGAAAATAACCCAAATTAGGATGTATTTTTTAGTTTGTAGGAAAGTTATAGAGTTCACAAACTATGGTATATATCTGAAAATTGATCAATCCTGAAGCAAGTCAGAATAGTACAGATATCCCCAAATGACCCCTTTTTGCAGAGTAGACAGTCTGACGTACTTCATAAGAGGAATGGCGAGTTTTTTGAAGTTGTATTTTTTTTGTCATAATTTTTCGGAAAATTAAAAAATTTAAAAAAATATTTTCACTATTTTTTTTTTACATACTGTCACTAGTGCAGTACAGCGTCATCATATAACTGGCATGGCGGTGAACAAGGACACTGACTGGTGACAGTATGAGAAAAAAAATTAATTTATTAAATTTTTTTTCATATTTTTTTTCATATTGTACTATGACCAAAGTAGTACAATGTTACCATAGTAACATTGTACTACTTTGGGAAAGTGATCAGTATTTTTTTTTTTTTTTTTTTTTTTTTTTTTTTTACAATTTGCTTATAGCAAAGAATTACTTTGCTATAAGCAAGCATTTACCTGAATGACATCGATTCATTCAGGTTTTGTTTTTTGTGCTTAGCTGTGATTTGGCCACAGCTAATCACATGACATGTGCATGTGACCTGCTGTGACCATTCACAGCTAGGCACTAGTATACAATGGAAGCCATCCATTGTATACAACTGTCATGTGACCTGCTGTGATTAGTCACAGCAGGTCACATGGTACCGGCATGTCCGAGGTACACGGCCGGTGACAGATCGCGCCGCTGCGCGGCTCTGCAACCACGCGAACTGCACATGTGCGGGAGGACGCCAAATGGCGTATACCACGGAAATCTGCAGCATTTTTGCGGCCGCCCAAACGGCTATAGGCCAGGCGGCTAATGGTTACAGTTTGTAGTAAAATTTGAGAACCCCCCCCCCCTGTTTGCTATGTGTTCCCATTCACAAAGCATAATTTTTAAAATATTTATTTTATTTGCACTAACATACAATTTTGAGGACAAGCTTTCGGGGAATGTCCCCTTCTTCAGGTCTAAGCAGGTACTGCTTAGACCTGAAGAAGGGGACATTCCCCGAAAGCTTGTCCTCAAAATTGTATGTTAGTGCAAATAAAAAAAAAAAGTATCACGGACAGTACTCAATTGTTCCTGACGCAAATGCACTAATACGGCTACAATCACCTCAAGTGAAATATTTCTAACCTTTTTAGTTTTTATTGGAAAGACATTTTTACATATATGACTCCTTAGGCAGCTTGTATTCTTCAGAATAACTTGCACTCCCAATGTGCTTACTTGTGAACACTTTATGGGCAGATTGCTATAAAAGAACATTAACATGCAATGTATCACCCAAACCTTGAGATCTTTAATCCTTCGTTAGGAAAGACAGTGTGCACATCTAGTTTACAACTGATGATGGAGATCTGCCAGCACAGTACAGACAGGGTTATATGGTAAACAAGTTTTTCCAAGCCCCTCCTTAATATTACATAGGGAACGCTAAATAGGATTTTAAGCAAGTAAACATGTAACCAGCAATTTTTAATTCACATAGTTATCCTATGTGAATGGGAACATAAAAAAAAATATGAAGCAGGCACTGTCGAATTCTGTCTGCAAAAGTAGAAATTCACTTTAAAGCACAGCTCCAGCCAAAGCCATTTTCCTAGTTTCGAACAGAGCGGGGAAAGGGTTACAACCGGGTTATTTTTTGCTCTTGCTGTCTTTGTTGCCATTGGAGATTTATCCCCCTTTCCGGTCCTAGAGACATAAGAGATATATAGAGCTATTCTCTCAAAATTGCAGCTTTGACAGCTTTCACCCAGTGTCCCCACTGACAGATTTCCCCTTTGCTTCTGTTCAGGTGACAAATATAAAATCATATTTTCCCCTCATTTCTTGTCCAGGTGATCACCATCAGTACAAAAAGCAAGAATAAATCTCTCCAAACGGGAACACAGCAACAAAAACCTAACAGATTCTTTTCTACGCTACCACATGTCAGAAATTTTTTTCTTTGTTGCCTGAAGTTTCACTTCTAACATTTACTCTCCATTATCTGCTATATTCACACAGATGAAAACATATGGCTTTACATTACTCTGCTTTAACCACTTTCAGCCCAGTCACAGTAGATACACTGAGCAGCAGCAGGCTCAGCAATGCAAATAAACGTTGCCAGTTGGCTTCCAAGCTTGGTTGGACAAAGCGCAATTTTGTCAGCAGGTGTCAGCCAATGATTTATGGCTGAGGCCTGCTGATCAGTTGTGTCCAAACACAGCACAGAGTCTCTATACACCGAGCAGCGATCTGGCTGTTTCATCTCCCTACAAAGCAGGGAGAAAAAAAAAATAGCCACATCCCTTAGTAAAAGCAGCACTTATGACACTTGTTAGGCACACAGTTAACCCCTTTCCAGCTAGTGTAAGTACAGTGACAGTGTGCATACAGTATTATAGCTGCTCACTGTATTGGTGTAACTATTGATGTCAAGATCAGTTAGTGTACCTCCCAGCATGGGTCTGGTAGCGCCAGATTGCCCACCACACTATAAGTTACTGATTATCTGTAGAGCGTCTATAGTTTCTATAAATTCCAAAATATATACCATAGTTTGTAGACACTATAACCTTCACACAAACCAAATTAATATACACTTATTGGTTTGTTTGTTTTTTTTTTACAAAGACATGTAGCTGAATTTTGGCCTATAATGAAAAAAAATAAAAAAAAGCAAGCATTGCAATTGCCAGTTAAAATAGGGCAGTGCTGAATAGCAAAAAATGCCTGGTCATGAAAGGGTTAAAACCTTCCAGAGGTCAAGTGGTTAAACCAGTGTTTGTATTCTCTGTTGGGCTGTTAATAATTGAATATTCTTGTGACTTTTTTTGATAAAATTCTGTCTGTTGACTAATTGCATCATATCTGGTTACTGTGCAATAACACTTCATCCTACTGAGTGTTTACCTGAGCCTGCTGCAAAGAGGAGAACCGTTCCCAGCCGACTAGTGCAGCAGCCTCACTTAGGTGTTCATTCCACACATCAGCCATCAAGCTGTGCAGAGTCTCTGTGGCAGACTCCTGGAGCAGCTGGAGCCGACATTCAATGGCTTCTTTTCTGTTCTCGTAAAAACTGTCTGTATATAGGTCCAGGGGGAATGCCTGCAACAAAAACAATACATGCTGCCATTAACCACAACTACAATCCAGTGCTACAAAAGCCTCTGTATAAATCTATAACAGGCTTTTCTCCTGCTTCTAAGGAAGTCATATTCTCATCAACAGATCGAACATTATTTCAGTGATCTTCGCAGATATAAAAATAAAAAGGCAGCTGTAGACAGATGCTGCACAAAACTGAAACAATGGATGGCTTTAGTGGACTCAGTAGTTATACTATATGGCATATTCACATTTTTCAGACACGGAGTATGAAAGAGGATGACTAATCAGTTTCTCATCGGACATACCTGGTAGGTATTCCTAAAGACATCAGGAATCCCCTCCATAAAAATTATATCCCACATGAACAAGCCATACAGGGTACTGAATGTGGAACCTTCTCCATGAATTCCTGTAAATGAATAAAAAGTAAATTACCCAAGAATGACATGCCAAAGGGTTTTCTCCAAAATGAATGCACAAGCAGAACACATCCTATACTTATTATACTGAAGTAAACGGAGTTTTAATTTTCCTCTTAGTTCCAGCCTGTTCAAAATAATATAGAAAATTAAAACATTTAGGAGGGAGGAGTCATAAATAGCAGTATTGTATTGCAAGTAAATCCCTAACCTTAAAAGTAAAATGAAAAAGAATACACATTTGGATGATAGACTTTGGAAGGGTTCCTCAGCAATGGAGCAGGTGGGAAGGTTTATAACTACTCAGTGTTTAAAGCAGAACTATAGGCAAAACCTTTTTTTCCATTTTGGATAGAGTAAGAGAGTTATAACCCCTGCCAGATTTTTGTTTCACCATCTGTGTTCTATTGTGGAGATTTCCCTTCACTTCCTGTCTCATAGCCAAAACAGGAAGTGAGAGGAAATCCCTGAAAATTAAGGGGATTCCTTAGGGAACCCCAGGTCACCAGAACTAGTGTCCCAATTGAAAGATTTCCCCTCTATTACTTTGCTTAGGAAAGCACATAATTTGTGATGTTCTTTTACTTTCACTTGCAATGATAATGTTAAACAGGACAAATAGGGACGGTGAATCTCCCTAACTGGGGCACAGACAGCAAGAAAGACTGACAAGTGTTCTATTCCCTCTGGCACTCTATCCAAATAAAGTTTTGCCTTTTGTTTTACTTTAACTTTCATCTTTCTCCCAGCCTGAAGTGTGCACCTCCTCTCCTTTCCCTGGGAACACATACACAACAAGGTGCACAGACCCCTCAGAGGCTGGAGGAGTGACTGCTTGACCATAGTCTCCAGAACAACACAGTCACTGGGCGCTTTTAGACTTGCATGTATAGTCCAATGAAGGAAAACTTCAAACAAGCGCAATAGCTCTGGCGAGGGATCTCCCACAGAGCAAGGCTTTCTGCAATGGTCACCCAACAGTAGCTCAATCCATAAAAATACAGAAAGGAGCCCTAGACTAAAACAAAGTGAAAGAGTCCAAGATAAGGTTAATTGCTGGTAAAAAAAAAAATTATATATATCTATATAAAAAAATAAATATAAAAAAACAAATTAATGTGTTTTTGTGGCAGTACCACTCCCCCTTCATTAGGCTAAAAACACATGATAAAACATGGATGGAGGAAGCGAAAAAGTATCCAGTCCATATCAGTATAGATATCCAGCATATTTTTTCCCCATTGAGATTGGATGTGTTTTCAAAGTGTTCCTTTCATTTTTTTGAGCAATGTATTGGAACCAGTACTGAACTCCTTCCTTCCTTACATGGAGTAACAAGCTGACAGCAGTTGCTGAGCATCAATGGAGCTAGAAGACCTATAATAATAGCACATAGGAGTTACAAACCTCTGTAGCTGAGATTCAAGACTGTGCACACAACTGTTCCTTGGGTGCTTAAGACACAGATTTATGGGAGAAAAGCCAGAGAGCTAAAATTTACATGACACCTTGCCTGTAGTGAGACCCAGCGATCTGAAGTCAGGACCCCAAAGCTGATCACTCTGACACCACCTACCCTATCCCACATATCCCACAATCACTCTTCAGCAAGTATACACACTAGCTGATAACATACCTTGATCATAACCAAGTTCTCGATAATGGGCCAATGCTAGTTCTTCTACGGAACACATGACTGTAGAGAGTGTAATATCCTCACCCACCTCCTCTGCCATGTTCTCCATTAGAAAGACCGATTTTCCCATGCCTGTCTGTGGGTACATCTTGCCTTTAATGGTAACCTGTTCATTATAAAATAATGAATCAGAATTGCAAAGTACAGCTAGATCAGTGTTTGCCCCAGAGATAATAAAAGGGGGGGGGGGGAAGAAGATCCCCTGTATACACCCAACTCCAGTCAAAATTTTTTTTTTAGTTTGGATGGATTATTTCTATATGTGTCCCCTGTGGCGGAGTCAAGAAAAAGGCAAAAGAGGCAACTACCTTGGGCTTTCAGCAGTAGAGAGGTGCAAAAAAAGGAGAGAACCTGCTGCTAAAGTGGTTCACAGCTCATGAAGGGGGCCTTAAAACCTGTGTGCACAATAAAACGGCCACGAACTTTGGTACCCTAAACGTACCATAGGTATTGCTTTAAAAGCCCCTAAAGGTCATCAATTTAGAGTTAGCCATCAATAAAGGCCCTAGTAGAATTATAAACAAAACGTTTTTCCCATTTTGAATAGAGCAGGGGAGGGTTATAAACGGTCAAGATTTTTTTTACGCCATCTGTGTCCCATTGTGGAGATTTACCTTCACTTCCTGTCCCATAGCCAAACAGGAAGTGAGAAGAAATCTCTGCAAATTAGGGAATTCCTTGGGGACCCCCAGGTTGTGATGAACTAGTGTCCCCATTGGAAGATTCCCCTCTATTACTTTTCTGGGGACAACCCAAAATTTGGGATTTTCTTACACTTTCCCTTTCAATGATAGTGTTAAACATGACAAATAGAGAGGGTGAATCTCCCTAACTGGGACATAGACCTGACAGGGGTTCCAATCCTTCTCCGCTCTATCCAAAACTAAAAAAAGATTTGCGCTTACTTATACTTTAAATGTTCTCACTCTTGCATGCATGGCCATATGTAACGTGTAGCTCAATCATCTTTTTTGTATGTAGTTGCCCCGACATGCATGTTTACATTCTTATGTGTGTGTGTACATGGAGCTGGATCAACATTTTGTTCGGATTAGGGGGCCACAGTGGCCAGGGAAAGTGACAGTCAAACCCAGAAGTGATGTAATGCACGTTCTTACTAGGTAACGGAGATCAGTGAACGGACGTTCAATGGTCTCCCACCCCTCTACTCCGCCACACCCTCCATGGGGTTCCTAAACCCATAGCTGGGAGAGAGGAGCCTGGGAAATATGTACTGGAGAATGTATCGGGGGTGCGTGGAAGCAGCACAGTTTGCATATCAGATTTAAAAACACACAGCAGCTGGGTTCATGTGTTAAACCCTCCGCTGCTTCCAAGATATGACAGCAAAAGGGTTAAACTGTGTTCAAAGCCCTTCCCCACTCTATGAAAACATGATCCCTGTCCACTAATGATTACATGGAGAAAGACACTGCATTTAGAATACATTAGAAGGAATAATCCCCAATAACTATGGTGACCCTTGCAGATCATCTTTCCTTCTATCTATCCAGCACAAATCACAGTGATATAAAAAAACGTGAGCTAGTAATCTCACATGAGGGACATCCTCTACAATGATCTGTGGTATGTTTTTGAGCATCTTGTGGAACTTCTTGCAGCTTGGAGATTCTCTCATTCTTACAGCTCGTTGGTACAGAGAGAGCTGATGACCGGTACGTACGTATGGATCTGACAAGCCCTCCATGATAAAGGTAACTGCCTGGAAAAACAGGATACAAGTAATGATCATTTATGTTTTTGTTTTGTTGTTTTTATTGTTGCGTAACCTTAACCACTTGTCCTCCAGAGGATTTACCCCCCTTACCCCCCTTCCTGACCAGGCCATTTTTTGCACTACAGTGCTGCATTACTTTAACTGACAATTGCGCGGTCATGCAACCCTGCACATCCTTTTTTCCCACGAACAGAGCTTTCTTTCAGCGGTATTTGATTGCCTGTGCGTTATTTTTTGTGCTATTAAAAAAAAAAAAAAAAAAAACGACAATTTTGAGGAGAAAAAAAAAAAAACATTTTTTACTTTTTGCTATTAAACATGTCCAGTAAAGAAATTGCAAAAAAATTACATTTCGTCATAAACTTAGGCCAAAATGTATTCTGTTCCATGTCTTTGCTAAAATAAATTAATTAGTTTACGTGAAAGTTGTAACGTCTACAAATGGCGGTATATATACTGGGATTTTATTTTTACTAGAAATGGCGGCGATCAGCGACTTACAGCGGGACTTCGGGACTGCAGCGGGCATTCTGACACTGGGGGAACTGACTTGGTATCACTGACATCCCCAGTGACACCAATACAGTGATCAGTGCTAATAAAAAGCACTGACACTGTACTAATGGCACTGGGCAGAAAGGGGTTAACATGTGGGGCAATCAAAGGGTTAGCTGTGTGCATT